TATAAAATACTTAAGTGTTAGGTGCTGCAGCATCTGCTGCAGCTGCTGCTGCTGCAGCTGCGTCCCTTCGTGTATAAATAGATCTATAAATTGGCAGGTGTATATACACCCCGTGTCTATACCTAATCTTTGTATAGGGAAGAGGAATGCATCTCCTCCTACGTGTCCTCTTATTACATGGGACTGCACTGCTAAGACACGACCTTCTGCTGCTGTTGCTGCTGCTGTTGCTGCTGCTGCGGCTCTTGCTGCTGATGGCTGCGGTGTTGAGGGGGAAGGGGAGGGTGTTGCTGGTGTTGACGCCATCTTCGTGCTGCTGTTGTTGCTGTTGTTGCTGCTGTTCTTGTTGTTGTTGTTGTTGTTGCTGCTGCTGTTGGTGGAGTGGTGGTTGCTGGTGGTGTTGTTGCTGCTGCTGCTGCTGCTGTTGCTGCTGTTTGCTGCAGTAAAAGATTCCTTAGGGAAGAAAGACAGGCAGGAAAGAAGACAAAAAGAAAAAACAAATTAAAATAAATAATAACACTCCCCTTCTTTCTATTCTTTTGCTGCTGTTGCTGCTGTTGCTACTGTTGTTGCTGCTGCTGCTCCTCCAGCTGCTCCTCCAGCTGCAGCGGCTCCTCCTCCAGCCGCTAGTAGCAACAGCAACAGCAGCAGCAACAGCAGCAGCAGCTGCTGCTGCAGTGTCTAGACATATTATTCTCCTACTTAGACAAATAAATTAGATGAAATATTAATTTAATTTAATTTAATTTTATTAATTATTTTTATTTGCTGCCTATACACCGTAAATACTAACTATGCAGCAGCAGCTGCTGCCGCCTACTGGCTGCTGCTGCTGCGCCTCCAAAACAGCAGCAACAGCAGCAGCAGCACTTCTAGTGTATTTATAATTATCTTCCTTCTTCTTTTAGTACTTTTCTGCTTCTGTACACAACAGAAGCTAGTTGCTGCAGCAGCAGCAGCAGAATACACTAACAGCAGCAAGTTGCTGCTGCTGCTGCTCGGGCCCCTCACCCATCAGCCAACGAAGGAAGGCTGCAGGATTGATCGCAGCAGCAGCAACTGCTGCTGCGGTTGCTGCTGCTCCAGCTGAAACAACAGCAGCTGAAGGAGCAGCACTTACAGAACCAACGGAAGGACTGTCGGCAGCAGCAGCAGCAGCAACTGCAGCAGCAGCAGCAACTACAGCAGCAGCAGCAGCAGCAGGAGCAGCAGCAACTACAGCACGAACCACAACAGCAGCTCGATTCTTAGGTTACATAAATACGTAGACACCATAAGCAGGTGCAGCAGCAGCAGCAGCAGCAGCAGCTTCTGCTGCAGCACGTATTACACCTGCAGCAGCCGCAGCAGCAGCTGTAGCTGCTGCGATGTATCATAGGATTCTCCCGCGTCTGCTGCATGCGCCAGCTGCTGTTGCTGCTGCAAGGAGAGCAGCAAAATTTCGTGCTGCTGCTGCGGTGTACAGACAGCAGCATTGCTGCTTTACCTCCTCTAACTCCGTAGAAAGCAGGAGCAGCAGCAACAGCAGCAACACAGGTTACCGCAGCAACAACAGCAACACATGGAGCATCGCTAACAGCAGCAATAACAGCAGCAGCAGCAGCAGCAGCAAATGCAGCAGCAGCAGCAGCAGCAGCAGCAGAAGGACTGTGCTGCAGGAGACACTTAGAAATCATAGAGGAGACATTCGCGGCATTTGTAGACATTCTAACGAAAGGGACATCGACCTGCTGCTGCAGCAGCTGCTGGCACACTCGCTGCAGCAGCAGCAGCAGCAGCAGCATATTCAGCAGCAGCAGCGGCAGCAGAGTCATCAGCAGCAGCAGATTCAGCAGCAGCAGCAGCACCAACAGGGGATCGGTTTCGATTCTGCTTACGTAGAGGAAAGTGATGCGCAGCAGCAGCTGCAGCAGCAGCAGGATGCAGGCGCGTCAGCAGCAGCAGCAGCAGATTCAGCAGTAGCTGCAGCTGCACCTGTTGCTGCTGCTGCGGCTGCTGCTGCTGCTGCTGCTGCTGCTCCACAAAATGCGAAGCAGTACTACGTAAGGAGAGCAATAGCTCGCTTGCTGCAGCTCAAAGGGGCAGCAGCAACAGCAGCAGCAGCAGAAGCAGCATTCCTGCTTGGCTGCTACGGGCGTCCTTGCTGCAGAGACACCTGGTTGCTGCTGCAGCAGCAAGCCTTGCTGCTGCTGCAGCAAGGAGACTTTATTACTGCAGCAAAGATTTGCTGCGGCTATTTAAATCTGCTGTTTGTACACCGCAAGCCCCCCACTGCAGCACCTGCTGCAGCAGCACCTGCAGCAGCAGAAGCAGCAGAAGCAGCAGCAGCAGCAGCAGTCCCCACACCCGACACGACAGGTTCCCTCCACTGGGACGGAGACGAAGACTCCACAGCAGCAGCAGCAGCAGCAGCAGAAGCAAATAGGTCAGCAGCAGTCCTGTCATCAGCAGCAGCAGCAGCAAATGGGGACGATGAGCAGCAGCAGGCAGCAGCAAAGCTGTTTCTTGCGCTGCAGCAGCACGTGCGCACCAAAGTAGCAGCAACAGCAGCAGCAGAAGCAGAAACAGCAGCAGCAATCATTCCTTTCAACAACCCAACAGAAGAAGAAGCAGCAGCAGCACCTGCAGCAGCAGCAGCAGCAGCAGCAGCAATAGAAGCACCACCACAACTACCCGCAACAGCAGCACCAGTTGCTGCTGCTGCTGATGCAGCTGCACAGCCAGCAGCAACTCTTTCTGCAGCATCAGGTGCAGCAGCAGCACTTCCTGCAGAAGCAGAAGCAGCAGCAGCAGCAGCAGCGCCTGCTGCTGCTGCTGCTGATTTGCTGACATGGGAGGATGCAGTATGGTACCTAAAGATGGTTAGCTGCTGCAGATGTGTACAAGATTTGCTGCTGCTGCAGCAAATATGCAGGTGGCTTGCCTATTCAATGCATGCGCTGCAGCAGCAGCAGCAGCAGCAGCAAAAACAGCAGCGGCAAACACAACAAGAGGGATTGTTGCTGTCAACTGCTGCGCAGCAGCAGCAGCGGAAAAATGTGGTGCTGCTGGGCTTGCCCCAGCAGCTCCTGCAGCAGCAGCAGCAGCAGCAGGTATTGCCACAGGAGCAGCAGCAGCAACAGCAGCAGCAGCAGCAACAGCAGCAGCAGCTGCTGCTGCAGCTGCAGCAGCAACTAATGACAGATGTGGTGGAAGTACTTCGTTGTCTATATGAATTGCTGCATGTAGATGTGCCGCTGCTGTCTGCTGCTGCTGGTTTGCTGCAGCAGCAAGCTGTGCTGCTGCCTGCTGCTGCTTGCTGCAGCAGCTTATACTACTTAGCACAGCTGCGGTATAATGACCCTGCTGCTGCTGCTGCAGTAGCAGCACATCTTGTTAATAACAAGCAGATTGCTGCTATACCACTGCAGCAGATGTCGCTGCTGCTGCAGGCACTGCAGCAGCAGCGGATGCGCGACGACTTGCTGCTTGCTGCATGCTGCAGCAGTTTGCTGCAACGGGTCCCTCGTCTGCTGCAGCTGCTGCCGCATCTGCCTCCGCAGCAGCAGCAGCAGCAAAGCCGGCACATCATTACTATAGTTCACTGTTTGGTAATGGGGGGTGCATGCAGCAGCTCGGCGCTGCAGCAGCTGCTGCCGCTGCTGCAGCAAGCAGCAGCAGCAGCAGCAGCAGAATCTGCTGTATTAGCTTGGCATGCAGTGGTCACCTTAGGGGCTTGGGCTGGTCCATTAAGAGCATTAGTTAAGCAAAAGGTCCTCATACACCTGCAGCAGCAGCAGCAGCAGCAGCAGCAGCTCCTCCTGCAGCAGCAGCAGCAGCACCAGCTGCTGAGGTTGGGCTCCTCTGCTTTGCTGGCAGCAACTAGCCTTTGTTATCACCATCTTGGATTCTATGACGCCCCGCTGCTGCTGCAAATTGCTGCTGCTGCTGCTCGTGGGCTGCTACAGCAGCAGCAGCAGCAGCAGCAGCAGCAATCGAAGCACACAGTCCTTGCGGCTTCATTCCTTAGGAGAGCTCTCTATGGCCTCCACCACCTTGCAGCAACACCGCGAGATTTTCCGCAGCAGCAGCAGCAGCAGCAGCAGCAACAGCAGCAGCAGCAGCAGCAGAGGGAGCAGCTTCAAGCTGCTGCAGCAGCGGGGTCCGAAGTGGAACAACAACAGCAGCTGCAGCTGCAGCAGCAAGCTGCTGCTCCCCTTCCCCTGTGCAGCAGCAACAACAGCAACAGCAACAACAGTTCTAACAGCAGCACCAGCAGCAGGAGCAGCAGGAACAGCAGCAGCAGCAGCAGCAGCAGCAGCAATGAGATGTCAGTCTTTGTATTGAGCAAAGGTCGTTATAGCCCACAGGTGCAGCACTCCCCCTGGCTAGCTGCTCCTCTCTCCTTGCTGCAGCAGCTGCTGCTGCCTCCTCCTCTTCCTACTCAGCAGCAGCACGAGGAGGAGGAGAAGGAATGTTTGCTGCTGCAGCTGCTGCAGGGGAAGCAGCAAGTGCTGCCTAGGAAGAGCAGCAGCTTACATGAGGAAGTTTTCCTTTCTTTGCCTAATTTGCTGCGCGCTGCTGCTGCAGCAGAGGTGACCATTGGTCCATTCGTTGTTGATACTCTTATACAGCAGCAGGAACTGCAGCAGTGGCAGCAACAGCAGCAGCAGCACGAGCAGCAGCAGCAACAGCAAAGAGAGCAGCAGCAACCGCAGAAGAAGAAAAAACAAAAGAAAAAAGAGCAGCAGCAAAAAGGTACAGCAACAAGAACAGACAGCAGCAAAGGCAAAAAGAAACAAATTGAACAGCAGCAGCCTGCTGCTGCTGCTGCTGCTTCTGCTGCTGCTGCTGCACCGCCGACCACCGCAGCAGCTTCTGCTGCAGGTCATAGAAATGGGGAAGCAAAGAAATCTACAAGAAGAGCCAAGTCTACCAGCAGCAACAGCAACAGCAGCAGCAGCAAGGAAGGCAGCAGCAACAACAGCAAAAGCAGCAGCAGCAAAGGCAACAACAGCAAA